GGCAGGGAGGGAGGTCGTCAGAAATGGGGTTGGCTAGCCCCCTAGAGGCCCGGTGTGGCTTCCATTGGCCTCTTGGATTTTTTCTCTTCTTTCCATTTGTGTAAATGTGTTTTTTCTTTTTATAAATTCTAATTATGTATTTATTTGTTTTAATTTGATGTAAACCGCCCAGAGTCCCCCATTGCGGGGAGATGGGCGGGGGTAAGTCTATGTATAAGTAAAAAAATAAAATAAAAAATAAACAGTTGGCCTGGCAGCAGCTCTTTCTCCTGTCCTTCAAGGCCATTCCCTCTGTCTTCAGGGGCAATGCAACAAAAATGCATTACGAATCGCAGCCATAACGGAGAGACAGTAATAGGCCCCTGATTGCCATGACACGACTCTATTTTACGTCTTTTCCCCGGGTATTCAAACAAGAAGCTCAGCTTGTACTGTAACCAGTGCTGTGGCAGCCCTCCAGCTGCCACCCACGTGATTGGGGCAGCGCTAGAAGATGCCCGGGCATGCCTACTTACCATGTCCCCAGTGCACAGGTAAGTCTTCCGACCTTCCGCACTGGCCTGGCAGTTGAAGAGCAACACTCCCAGCTTGGCCAGCTCCTCTTCTGTCAGATCCGTGCAAGTCGATCGAAGCTGCGCAATGACCTTGTGTGGCAAAGAACAAGAAAAAGCACCCCCCCAACATCAATTCATGGGTGCCTTTGGCCTCTCCCGTGGGCTAGCTGGATAGAGGCTGGCTGGGAAGAAGCAGCCACAGTCGGGGCGGTGGAGATGGGGATACACCCAGCACACAAAACTATGTGAGAACCAGGCTAGTGGCTGTATGGGGGCGCACTGGTTTTACATGAATAAAGGCCTCCGGAGCTCTGAAGCCCTGGGCCACCCAACCTCCTTGCTCTGCAGCTGCTAAAACCCCTCAGCGTTAGGTGGTGCAGGAGGAGAATGAGGGTTTTCCAAGAGCCCTCTTTCACCTTCATGAGGAATCTCCTTTGTGAGACCAGATGTTGCTGAGATGAGCACATTCTTGTTAGCCTGGGAGGTGACGTTGGGTTGCATCAAGAAAGCAGAATCGCCCATTGCAAGGCCCTTCTCTGATCAAAAGGGGCAGCGATTAATTGCACTGGGCCAGGTTTTACAAAAGTAAGCCACGCGAGTGGGATATTCTGCAAACTGGACTCCAGTACCTCTACTACAGCGGACACCAGAATGAGAAGCCAGGGTGCCAGAGCCCTCCAGGATAGTCAAGTCCCAGATCACCTCTGTGGCGCTCAATACGATACACACACACCCTCTATAAAGGACCAGAGACCTTGTGGTGGCAGGAGTCCAGAAGTGAGAGATCCACTGGCTGAGTTTCAGCCAAGAACCTCTCATCAGCCGTATTCATCTCAAAAGGCACTTGTCCAAGGCTGGCGGGGTCTGGAGCAGCGGCCAGTGGGTCAGGTTCAGGAACATGAGCCGGGGAGGCCCTTTGGGTGAGCCAGCTGAAAAATCCAGAGGAGGGGGCAACAACCAGAAGCAGGGGGAGAGGGAGAACGAGGGCCCAGCAGTGGAAGGGCAACATCTTCAGCAGGTGTCCTGCAGGGAGAAAGAAAGCCATCTGGCCTTCCGCTGCAGAGCGTTTTGGTGCATTGCATCGGTAGGTAAAACCTCCACGTCCTCCTGCAGTTTTAACTTACCTTCCCAATATTGTGAAAATGCACTTCCCAGGGACATCTAAAGCTGAGGAACTTGGAGGAGCAGGTTCCCTCCTTACGCTTAGACACCCACCCAATGCTGAAGTCAAGCCTCCAACCTTGCCTTTAAAAAGAACTAGCCCAAACATGAAAACCTGTATTTTAAATCTTGGCAGGCACCAAGACTGCAACTGTCTCATTTGCAGTTTAAAAACAAGGCCTTATTCTTCTGTTTGGATTGCACACCGAAAGTGGAAGAAAAAAAGGGGACTTGGAAGCCCTAAGGGGTTCCCAAGAAGGGTGCATGGCTATTGCTCCACACACATTGTCAAAAAGAAAGCCCCCCCCGGGTTAAGAAGAGATGCCCCACTGGGAGCTCATCGCTCTTGAAAAACCAACTTATCCCCCATCAAACTACAGTTCCAGCAAACGGGCTACTACTCCCTGAAGGCTTCGTAACAGATGCTTCGATCTAACAACCTGCAAGAGAAACTGAGGTGCAACCCTGTGGGATCTGCCAGGGAGTTTCCTTTAGCAGCCAGACAACCACCTGATTGTAGAAGGCCCACAAGCACACCCAAAAGGCAACGGTCCTCCTCGCTTGCTAACGCCAAACAGCATCCCAAGGTAGGCTGCCTTGGAGCACGGAGGCTCCACTTTGTACAGGGCCTGGCCCCAAATCATGAGAAACGCCGCATACCCCTCCGCTGCCAGTTGCCAACGGTGGGGAAGGCAGCCTTCTTTCAGCGGAGTACCTGCCATCATGTACTATCAGCAGCACCCCTGCTCTCCGCAATCGCGCTCGGATTCCTGAGCGGCTTCCTCAGGAGTGAGATTTCTCCTTCTGCTTTTGCACGGCTGCATTTCCTCCAAGCCTCCTTTAACCAATCGCAGTAATAAGCAATATAGTAATTACTGTTTTGCTTTTAAAAACCCCCAAGGACGCCTCTCCCTAGCACGGCCTTTAAAGGTCAAAGACCCTCTCCTCTGTGCTTTACTTTCATACTTCATCTCCTTATATTCCCTGTTGCATGCTTTGCAACGCTGAGCCCGTTTCCCTGCTTATTTCAAGCAGGAAAAGTCGAAAGCCTCCCGCCGTAAAAGCCCAGCTCCCGCTAACTCCCTGGACGCATCACCGCGACTTTCTTCGCAACTGGCCATTCCCTTCTCCCAAAATGCTTTTAACGCTTCCCCGCGGATTTCTTCGTGGTCCCCCCTCCAAGGACCCACCCGGCTTGGCAAAGTCGGCCAGGGGAAAAGGAAAAACGTCATCCAGGCCAAGGACCGAGAGGAAGGAAAGCCAGCAGCGGGCTCAGCGAGCCGGGCACACCTACCAGCCGGCTACCCCCCCCAGCCCCGCCGAAGCGCCTCGCATACGACGCCGAGGGAGCCTCGGCGGCTTTCAAGAACCCGGCGCCGTGACGTAGCGGGCCGCTCAGCCAATCGCTGGCCGCGCCTCCCGGCCTCGCCT